TATCTACATTAGGAAACACCATTTATTAAAAAAATTGTAATTACGAGAATAAAAGGACGAAAAAAATATGCTAGGCAAGACACATACACAAAAAAAGGGCCCGAATAGTCTGGGTTGGTTGTTGGCTGTCTGTCCGACTTTTCCATTTTGCTGATTTTTACTGAACGAATGAATTTTTTCCTCTTTTTTGCTAAAAAAAACTTATACATCCGTTTAAGAATGTAATAATTTATTTTTATAAAATTATATGCTGAAATAAGATTTAAAGATTCAAACAATGTACTAATTTAACTAAAATAAAATTAAAAATACGTATTTATATTTACTAATTTCGAGTCAGCTGTGAGTAATATTTTTTTGTTGAGCTTTTGATAATTTTGTGAGATTTCAATGTTTAAGGAGATGGAAGAGGAAATTTCTTTTTAACTATGCTAGAGAATCTAATAAGGAAAGTGATTTTGTTTTGAAATTTAAGTGGCAGTGTTTGGATTTGTTAATTTTTTGAAAGATGGTATTATTATTTTTTGAACAAATGATATGTTTTTATAATTACAAAATATAATAAAGGTAAAAATGACATTTACTCTTCAAAAGGCCCTTTTGATGAATGACAAAAAATTTTTGGTCAATGTCACAAAGTAATTTTTTGATTAGGTGCTTTTGAAAAGTACCCCCATATTTAACCCATATCGGTTGGCTTAAATTATTGTAATTGTACCAAAACTAACCAGGAGATTTGTGCCAAGGGAAAAGTTAGGGGACCTTATCTCCTCTTATTTCAACATCAAGTGGTTTAATTTACATGTTTGTATTTATTAATGTTTTCAAAATCGGCTCGATGTTCACTCAAAGAAAATAAATAAAATCACAATTAGATAATTAAATGGCTTGACATTCAGTCAAAGAAAATGAATAAAATCAACAATTAGATAATTGAACCGAAGTTGAACTGAGGTTGGACTAGTCGGAAAAATATTTAAAAAGATTAAATAATACAAACAAAAATTAAGCGTGAATCGGTAGGTTTTTTACTTGATTATACACTTTTCACTTTAATCAATTTTATAGAGATCAATTTTGGGTAAAACCAAACCGGTCCAATTGTCTTATTTTCAAAACATTCGTGTTTATGCATGTGTACCTCTTTGTATAAATTTGTGTAATGGGTCACCTTACAGCCTAATTTTAATCATTGCACATCAAAGTCACTCAGACTTTTCATTTTTCTTTGTTGATTAATAACTTCAGCAATAACCTCCATCGATGATTTGAACTTCATAAATTTGACGATACATGGTTTAATTCGAAGCACTGAAATGTCACACAAGTTATGGAATTTGCCTTTTTTATTCTTTAGATCTTGTGAAATCGGCTTATTTTCCCAAAAGATCTCAATCTTATAGTTAATAGATGATTTTACATTTCGTTGGTGAAAGATTAACTTCGTATTTTAGTTTTAGTTTCGGTATTAATGAACATTCTTCCTGGTTTGGTATTAAAGAAAATGATAGGAGTGTGTATTAATTTAAAGAGCTATCTAGTAAGCTACTACTAGCGCCGCTTGAGTTGCTCTCCCTTTCTAGCTTTCAATCTTGGTATTAAAAAAAAAAAAAAAAAACCGTATGAAGTCTATATTTAGTTATTTAGTTTCTTTTGCTTAAAGTAAAGTTCTCCATAATAAAGCAAAATTAAAAGTAATACATATCATTATCTTCTCAAAAAGGATAATTATATTGCTTTTGAGGAGATTCAAGTACGCATCTATGGTCCATGTGGTTAAAGCATATATGAATAGTTTTGAGTGGTAAGAGACTTTATAAACATTAAAAGTAACAATAGAAAAAGTAGTTGTAATTTTTACAAGACAGCCTTCTTAATGCAAAAGTGATGGGAATTACGTACGCACCACATACTCCTTTTCCTAAAAGTTGTCATAGTTTATTTGCATCATCATTAATGACTCAACTTAAAGCTACTCTTTCATAGGCACACAAGTCGAAATATCTATCGGTTCTCACATTAGATGCATGTTTGAGTCTCATTGTTTAAATTTTTTTTTTAACTCATTTTTAACTACTAATTCTTTCAATAAAATAATTTTACATGTAAGACAAAATTTTTCTTATTTTTTAATTACATATTCTCTAAAAGTCAATATTATGAAATTTATTCTACTAAAAAATGAGGCTTAGACAAATCTCTCTCTTTCAAATCTCCTAATTAGGGGATATGTGGTATAAAGGAATTTTCACAATTTTCAAGTGTTTAACACAGCGTTTAGATGAAAGTCGTAACAGAATTTGATAAAAAAAAAATGATGAAATATATTATTTAAAATTTGATAAAATTATGAATCACATGAGTCATATCAAGGAATGATCATTGACTGAGCCGAGCTCAGACCACGAGCTAGGCTCGTGTCCACAAAGCATGTTCGATCTGGCCATTTGGCTCATGGGCTCATGAGTCATGTCAAGACACCCATGAGCGATTTGGCTCTTTTTATGGATGGAAAAGAAATTAATATAACAAATTGAATTAGCCTACGAGCTAAGGCTGCTTGCCTCGTGGAAATAAAATGTTACTATGGTTGGCCCTCGCTCATGAAAATAAAATGGGGCCATGCTTATCTCATTGCTCATATCCAAACGAGAGGATCGACCCGTTTGCCATATCTAGTCATACTCATTGTTTATTCTTATGTTATAATGATAGCATTTAATATATTACAGAATTTAATTTAAAGTATTCAAGTCATATACTCCTTAAAGAGAGAATCTCTTTTCGTAGATGCTCTAACAACATCAGTTAACATCAAAGATATAAGCCTGGGGAGAAAAAACATAGGGTTCAATATCAAACAAGTATAGCGTCTCCACAAGTTGCTGATGAGTGACCAAAACAAAATAAGAGTCTAGCATACTCGTGTGACTCTGCTTTTCATCAGTGTGACCTTCAAAACTTGCAAGCAACCATCAAATGTAATAACATGTATGACCGTATTGGATTAAAAATGAAGTCTCAGCTATTTCGAGCCATTTTCAAATTGAAGCTTGCATCGATCTTCGTGTTGAGGTTGTGTAATCCAAATGCTTGTATGATACCTTATTTATAATCCAAAACGCGAATTTGATTGTCACATTTATTGTGTATAGAACGAGACATTCTAACTACTGCATTCAATTTTAATTTTTATGCATGCTTCCATACATAAAATTTTAATTGTCAATGATTTATGACTTCATCCACATTGTAGGACGCCTCAATGTTGGATGAACATGCTACTTTGAAATGTGGATACAGTGGATTAGCCGTAATTTACTGATCTAGAACACCATCAATTTTCATTGCAATGTCACATGTGATGGGTAACAATTGTTGCTATTTTCTTGTAACAAGATAATTGATCGCAATCACTCTTCATCTCGAGCTCACCTCATCCTAACCAACCCACTTCACTCCACCACTGCCGGCACCAGCCAAATCCCCGCCCAATAATTTCAAATCCACTCTCTTCAGGTATAGTGGCCTCGTTGGGCTTTATAGAGTCACGCCTCATTCTAAGAAAAAGGGCTAAATATGTTTAGTTGATGATGATGGTGGAAATGGATATATACCTGAATAAGTGGAGATGAGTTGAAAAATATTGCTAGAATTTGCAATATTTTTTTGTGCACTGGGCAGGAGACTTGGACCGCAAAATGGGAACTCGAGTATGTTCCCAGTTGAAGAATTTGGAGTATGTGGAGTTATTTTATCGGATCTTAAGGTAGATTGATGAAGATTCAATGAGTTTTCCATGAAAATCAAGGAGAAAAGACAAAGTTAAACACTCTGTGATCGAGGGATGAAAAGAGGAAAATCAAACCATTTGATGGAATAACTGAAATGATGAAAACAAAAAAGAAGAAAATCTTGAGAATTGGCGACCCATTTGCAAAAGGTTGACACTGGTTTTCATTCATAAATCTACATGTCGTTAATCTTGATTTGCTTTAGAGAAGTATTGTAATCATTTTCGATCATCGACATCATACGATGATGAAGAAGCAGAGGATTAGAGTCTCCTCTACTGAGATCCCAGCTTAAGACAGAAAGTTCTGAATAGTTGAGAGTGAGACAATGAATGTTATTTGAAAAAATAATGCTATCTAACATCGAAGGCACATATCATATGTCATACTTTCTTTTATTTAATTGAACATGGAATTTAATATCATTAGTATTGTCACTTGAATTGGTATTAAACTAGAGTGATGTTAAATAACATTATTCTATATTATTATTTAATACTAAAAAAATAATTATATCCTTAGTCTTGAAACAATATACTTAAATTCAATTTTTGAAATAAAACATTAAAAAATAAGGATGTGTTTAATTTCATCTAGGGTTATATTCGCAACATATTTTTTTCATTAATATACCACATTTTAATTACATTAAAGGGCATTAACCTTTATTCATTATTATACTTATATCTTTAACTTTTTTTTATTACATTCTTATTTTTAATATTTCATTGATAAAAAACTTTTATTTTTAATTATGTATTTTGTTAAAAAAAATATTGTTAACTTGCTTTAAAATGAGGTCAAATATTTAATTATATTTTTGTATTATTATTTGTTTTGGTCATTCAAAAATACATTAGACAAATGAGTCTTTTTACTATTTTAAAAAAATTTCGGAGAGAAGTCATAATCAAGAATAATTTATGTTAATTTAAAAATAAGAATGCAATGAAAAAAGTTGAAATATAAATATGGTAACATGTAAAAGTTTAAGAACCTTTTATTCAATAAAATATAATCTAATTATTAAAAATTTTGGTGAGAATATATTTAGATCACACATCCTTTAAAAAAAAATACTATCTAAAGCAATGTTTTAAAAAATTTAACCATGTCAACTTGGCCTTTTCAAAGGTTTTCACTTCGACAAATGTCATTCATGGGCCGGGTTTGAAGAGCCCGTATTCTTGTGACCCAAACTGCATTCCAAAAGGCAGAATGACTTCCCATTTTCCTCACATTCACTGATTCACACCCAATTTTCGATTGGATTCTATTCGTTCCTCTGCGCAAACATATCTGTTTCACTCTGAACCACCGGCGGCGACGAAACAAAATTGGCGGGGGGAGGTGAGCTCTCTCTTTTATCTTTTCCGTTCTTTCCTCATCTGCGAAACCCTAGCAGGCTTAGCCAACTCCAGCCAACTCTATGGCACTGTGTTACTTTACTCTTCAAAAATACATTCCAACCATTTTAAATTGAATTGTTGCTTGTTAGAATAATTGAATTATTATTTTCTGCTTTTTCAATGAAATTTATGTAGCTAGGGTAATTGTGGATTTTTTGTTTTTATTTTTAATGTTGTTCAACAGTGGCGCTTCATGAAATTGGAGCACAATGGCCAGCTATTTAGGAAAAGGAGTCCCCACGAATGGGTCTGTCTACGTTTGTAACTTGCCTTTTGGAACCGATGAGAATATGTTAGCTGAACACTTTGGTACCATTGGCTTGCTGAAGGTATGGTTTCCATCGGGTACTGTTTGCAATTTCACTTCTCGTTGTTCCAGTAAGTGGCTTGTGAATATCCATTATTTTGCTTAGTTTGCATGGCCTTCCAATCCTGTACGTGTGTTTGCATAAATGTACAGGTAAATCTATGGAACTTGTGTGCTGTCTGTTCGTATGTCTTTTATCTTTATATTTATGTTTATACAAATGTCATGTATTTGTTAATGCCTGGGCATTTTACATACCAAGTTCCCTTTTAGCTATAAATGGCTTGCGCACCTAATAATTCTTTAATATCTCTTAAGGTAATAGATCTGTATATGTTAGTGTTTACACACTTGTATTGCACATGTGTGTCATTTTTAATAGCTTTTAGGAACTCAAGTTACATCTCTACAGAAGGACAAACGAACTGGGAGTCCCAAGATATGGTTATACCGTGACAAAGTGACAAATGAGCCAAAAGGAGATGCTACTGTCACATATGAGGACCCACATGCTGCATTGGCTGCTGTTGAGTGGTTCAACAATAAAGATTTTCATGGAGCCACAATTGGAGTCTTTCTCGCCGAGTCAAAGAGCAAAGGTGACTCAGGGAATCATGCTGGCGATCAAATTCTTGGAAGTGATCTTAGTGGGCTGGAGGAAGGAGCTAGTGATGTGAATGATGGGGGTGGAAGAGGTAAAGGGCGAGGCGATGCTTCTGGGAAGCCATGGCAACAAGAGGGTGATTGGCTGTGTCCGAATACAAGGTCTGTGATGTGATTATTGGTGAGCAGCTCTTTCTTGCTCTTATTTATCCTATACTAGTGTTTTCATGATTCACCTAAACTCTGGCTATGCAAATGGTTTCTTATACTTTATTGCTCGAAGCAGCTGTACCAATGTAAACTTTGCTTTCCGAGGTGCATGCAACCGATGTGGAACTGCCCGTCCTGCTGGTGCCTCTGGTGGTGGTTCAGGGGGTGGTGGCCGAGGAAGGGGCCGCGGGGGCCAGGATTTGGGAGGCAATACTCGTGCAGTTGGTGCTGCTGGTGGAGGGCTTTTTGGTCCAAATGATTGGTCTTGTCCAATGTAAGAACATGTATAGCTTTGCTATTTTACCTTTTGTTTTGAGCAAATGGTATTTTTTTTTCCCTGATTCACATAGCTTCTATGATGTAGGAAGTATTAACATGTTTTCCGAACTCTAGTATTGGGTGCTTAGGTGTTGAATTTCACCTTTTCTGCTGTTTACACCTATAATAGCTTCACTAGAACGGAAGCGTTCAATTATTTCTTAATTGGACAGTGTAGATGCAGTGGGTGTTAACTCCTTTTAGTTTTACTATTTCTTAGATCAAGACAGAGAATTATATTTAGTGTTTGTAACAAAGAGTATTTACTGTCTGACTGCCACAAGACTTCCTATACAGGTTGAACATCACACTAATATTGAAATGATAAGATAAGTTTGGAAGCTTTTCCAAAGCCTAAAATCACTTTGTGGAGGTCAAAAGTGCTGGTTGTTTGGCTATAAGTCAAAATGTACGTTTTGAACCCCCCTCCCCCCCCCCAACCGAGAAGCCTAAATTTCGAAATTCTCTAAAAATTTATAATTGTGCTTTTATGGGAAACTGTAATTTACGTTTAACAAAGCTTTAAAATCAACAAAATATGGGCATGTTTGGTAGTGATTATGAGAATTGATTTTTTGACTGTTAGAGAGAAAGTGAGTCTCATCTATGAGTGAAGAAGTTAAAAATGATGGTTGAAATAGTGAAGTAACGGTCAAAAAATTGATTTTATGAGGTGAAAAATTGCTACCAAACGGAGGCTATATTTTAGTATATAAAAAAAATAAAATAAAATCAAATAATAATAATAATAATAATTTCTAACCTCATTAAATAAATATAAAGTTCATAGAAAAACACTTTTTGGATTTACGCTTATGTAGTCAATGGCTTTTTAATAAAAACTCTAGATCGACTGGATATTTCGCTAGAAGCTCTACTCACAACCCCTTTCCCAAACGGACCCGAACTATTATCTGAAGATTGAAATATAAATGTCACGATTAGATATAGATCCAATTAAAGGGAAGTATTAATGTTTCAAAATGAAAACTGTTGAGATAAAAAGTTAGAGGACATTGTTTATGGATAGCTTTAGTTAAATATTAATGTATATGTTTAGTGCATGAGCCACCAACAATTTTCTCCTCGTTTAGGTATGAATTTTATCATCCTTTTCTGTGCTCAACAATTATAAGGTTTAGTGCCTAATATTGAAGTCAAGGAGTATTATTTAAAGATAGCAGAATGATGTATTTGGATTAGATGGACCCGTTAACCAAGTAATGGTTTAAAAAAACTATTTGAGGCATATGCCTTGAATCTTGCCACATGTGAGACTATCATAAAATGCTTCAAAACTCGAACTTTTAAGTCCACTTGTGAGGCTTACGCCTCGTTTTATTGAGGCTAACACCTTGACCTAGTGAGCTTGGTTCTATACCCAATTCATAACTCGAAGGTTTCTCATGCTGTTTCATAATCGAAGCCAAAATCCCGAAAATGAAAAATGACAAAATAGGAATAAGTCTTGATATTATTAGAAATGTCTGAAACATATCATATTCGTAAAGCAAAAAAAGATGCACTCCTATGAACATAGAAAATATATTGGATGGGTCGATTTGAATTGAAATTGTCAATTAGTCTTTAAGCCTCAAGCCAACTAAGGTTTTTGCCTCGCATTTTTCAAAATTTAATTATATGTACCTAAGCCTTTTGAGTTATTTCCTTGTAACCTAAAATGTTTTACAAGTTCTATTTTATTTTTCCTACCTACACGGGAAAAAAATGGGAAGGAGAATACACCAATGTAATTGGAGGATGATGACAAAGAATGAAAAGAAACATATAATGATGATGACTGACGTTAATGATTCCCTTAAAGATCATATTAGTAGTGATAATATAAGAATTACTAATTTGTGAACTTATTTTCTTGATTTATTTTATGTTTGTTTGCAAGTTAGACTTTTAAATTTGTTAATTAGCTGTATTATGGATTTTATAGTATATTACGAGCATATGTTTGTATTTTTGTATTCTTTTCAATTTTTAATTGTTTTATCTTTAGGCCTACGTCTCAAAGTGCCTCGAGGCTTACACCTAGCCTCATTAAAAAAAAAAAAAAACTCGTCAGTACCAATTAAGTCTTTTTTAACTTTGACCCAAGTAAATGGAAGTTTTGACAAATCAAAATGAGAAATAGGAAACTGTGGAAACTGTTGAGACAGAGGACATTGTGTATGGATGACTTAGAGTTAAATGTTGATGTATATGTCTAATGCCTGAGTTACCAACAATTTTCTTCTAGTTCAGGCATGAATTTACCATCTCTGGCTGTGCTGACCAATTATATTATTTGATTTCAGGACATTTTAGTCATTGCTGGGAAAGATTTTCTTCCTGCATTTGGTTAAAACATTGTTTTTAGATCCTTTCCATGCAATATTATTATTAATTTGCTGGGAAAATGTTATTTCAAAGATGTATGCAATTTAAGTACTACTGCCCTATGAATATCAATAAAAAATCACAACAGAGTGTTCTGTACACACTAATTTGTGTATTAGTCTTTTATTAAATAATGGATACTTTGAATTTTAATACAATAAACTCACATTTTGCTGGAATTTTTTGTGCTTGGTTTTCATTTTTGAGAAGTGGCTGAAGAGCTAATTCTATTTCACTAGGATATGTAAATGAAGGTTATTGTAAGAATTTTGTTCTGTTGGTGGTAGTGAATTATTGTTAATTTTGGGGCATAAAATTTCCCTATGTTTTTGGTCATGTAGCGTTATTTTGCTATGGATATATTTTGATGTATTATGCAGGCGTGGACGTCTATGAGTGCATTCACAAATCATTCTTTGTTCTCTCTCCTCCCACCCACCCCCCAGTTGTTTGTTGTTCATAATAATGCAAGCAATTAGTGTATAAGATGCTTCGAGTTTATCATCCCTTTGGTCCTTTTCCACTTTTTCTTACACTATCCATGGCGGAATATCAGTTTCACGAAGATGCAAGGTTTATTTGAAGACTTGCTCTTGATGTGGATATCATGTTTTGTATTATTTGTATTGTCCTGCATGATCCAATCATTCAGTTGCTGAAAACATGCCATAATGTTATTGCTTTTTTCACCAATGCTTGTTACTTGTTGGTTCAGGTGCGGCAACATTAACTGGGCAAAGCGCATGAAATGCAACATCTGCAACACAAATAAACCTGGTCATACTGAGGGCGGTGTGAGGTAATTTTATACAGCAGTATTTTTTATTTATTTTTTCTTTTATGGACATGAGCTAGAATGTTAGCATATATCCCGTGTTTACATGTATATACTCGAGATTTTATATGGGACCATGAGATTTTTAAATGCACTCAACCAGCCTTTCCCCATCAAGGATCTTAAATGGTTTTCTGAACTTTTTGTGACCCGTAACAAATTTGTTTTCGGTTGTGGTTTTAAACTCATAGAACATTTACTGTCATGTTTGCTCTAATTTTCTTACTTTTCTCCACTTCTATTAGATTTGAGAGTGTAGGTTGGGTCTTTGATGTGAATGTTCTTGCAGCTGTTGACTGAGTAATCGTGTTTGTCCATTTTGCATCTTTTCATTTAGAGGAGGACGTGGTGGAGGCTACAAAGAACTTGATGAAGAAGAAATAGAAGAGACTAGGAGGCGCCGAAGAGAGGCCGAAGAAGTAATACGCACTTACTCTAGAAGTTCATTGTTGGTATTTTTATCTGAGGCATTTAAAGATTTTGTTTTTCCCCCATGATATCAGGATGATGGTGAAATGTATGATGAGTTTGGCAATCTTAAGAAAAAATTCCGTGCAAAAACTCAGCAAGCTGAAGTGGCTACAGGCACTCATGGCGTTGGGCGTGTGGGTTGGGAGGTTGAGGAACTAGGTATGTTATAATTTCTATTTATATTCTTGTTCCTTGTGATTGAACTATGGAAATTTATACTTATTCTTGTGCACATCATGAGACAATTGGATTTTATTGCCCAATCTAGTGCTTGCCTATCCTGTGATTTGGGTTACTTTGGCTTGATTACCATCCAGCCACCCATAACACTGATTCATCTGCATAAGTTTGCAGTAATTTGCTACGCTTTTCCATGACTGCTAGATGTTGATTTTGCCTTTTGCTCGGTTTGTTACCCTGCTTCTTCTTACTCGCTAATAAGTAATAACCATCAGAAAGTAATAATGTTCATATTCAAAAAAATTCTGATATTTGCTTCCCTCCAAATAAAAATAAATAAATAATTTAAAGCAAGAAAGCTATGCTGCTGGTTTGTCCAATTATAAGCAAAATAACAAAATGGAAAAGGAGTGTTGAGGTGGAAAAAAACTTGCCTCTACAGAGTAAATAGCTTGGAGCTGGACGTGCATTTCATGCAAATCACTTTTGGAATCCATTTGAACTTGAGTTTTTGTGGTGGCTTTCTTAACAATAATTTGCCATCTGTTAGCAAAATTTTCACTCATTTTTAAACTACAACACATGATTTCTTCAGTACTTTGTTTGTCAATATGAAAGAGCTCTTTAGTTTATATGTTGTATGCCATGGGAAAGTACAAACTAGAAATAGGAAATAATACTACCTTGGAATGATGCATTTGTCTGCTATCCATGCAATCTTCATAATACCCTTTATTCTTCAGACAGTAGTAGTAAGATTTGTGGATATTGTCCATACGTGAATACTTTAATATCAAGAGGCGAAGAGAACTTAAGGATACATGGTACAGGACATATGTGCTTAATTATTTTATGAATTTTACTTTCATACACTACTTTTAA